TTAAATATATCTTTAATGGACAAATAAGATTAACAACATTCTAATAATTTTATTCTCTATTCTTTTGACATGTGGTAGGGCTAGAGCTTTTCATATCTTTACATTTCCCTTCAATCGCAGGTGTCGCACGTGTGCAGCATCGCGGCGAGTTTTCCACTTTTATCTGGAAATGTTGTATAATATCTATCTAGAAAATATAGGGGGACAAGAAAATCTAGTCTTTTATTGATGGGAAATGGATTGGAAGTCGCCACCTAGTATTTTGGTCACTAGGAACCCTAACTGGTCTCATAAATTGGGTACAGGGACTAGTTGCGTAAAGGAAAGGTATTAGCACCCCAAATACGCCCTATCTAAGGTAAGCTGCATTGTTTTATTGTCTGATAAAATCTAATGTTTCCTAGTTATTGGTATGGTTTAAGAAAAGTCCTCCTCGATAAAGAGATCCTTATCTTATCGGGTAACTCTAACCTAAACACAAGAATTTAATTTCCAAAATACGTCTTACGTATAAGATCATAACCCCAGATATTAAAAGAAAACAAAATAATTTTTTTGGAATTTTTTGAAATATTGGCCTAGTTCTCATGGCTTGAATAAACTGGTTATTAATGTTGCATGCTAATACGTATATTTTTTGAAATTTTCTTTGTTTTATGAAAATATGATAAGATGATTTATATATATATATATATATATATATTGGAGAGACTAGGCTGTATGCATAAAAACAAAATATTTTTTTGTTTTATTTTTTTTATGACTTGACAAAAACTAGGTATTTTAATACTGGATTTGTATCTTTACAGTATAAAAATACAAACCGATATTGATTAAAATTCAGTAACAAAAATGGTAGAAAATTACAGATTCTTTGAAATAATTCTTTGAATGGGCCGAACCCAACCCAAAAGGAAACTGGGCTGAAACGAGCCCAAAAAATAAAACGGGCCTACTTCCTACAGGGCTGGACTTAGCCCAGCCGCATGGGCTGGGCTAATATTCCAGCCCGGAACAATAGTAACCGGGGCTGTACATGTGTACAGTACCATGTTACTATACACGCATAGTAACCGGGGGTACTGTACATGTGTACAGTACCCGTTAATTAATTAGCCTGCACAGTAGCTAGTTAATTAATACTGTGCATTAATTAATATTGTGCATCGTCACTTACCTGGAATGAGAAGCTGACAGTGATGCTTGTGTCTGATTTGGCGATGATAGATGACAGTGATGCCGGTGACCGGTTTGGTGGTGGTGTTGCTGTGGCGGCTCTTCCTCTTCTCTGATGTTTCGGCGTTGGTTTCTCTCCTCTCTTTCTCCTCTGTTTCCCTTTCTCCTTCTGCTCCCAACTGTGTTGTTGTCGACTAGGAATACAATGGCAGCTTGTGGTGGTGGAGAGGACGTGCTCTGCTCCTGGTGGTGGTGTTGCAACTGGCTGTGGTTGTTCTTCCTCTTCTCTGCCGCTTTTGTGTTATGTCTTCTCCTTGTTCAGTCACCTTGCTTCTCTGTTTCTTCTTCCAAACGACGGTTCTAAGGGCAAGGTGGGCGGTTACCGGTGGCAGTGTTGTTTCAAACGGTGGAAAAAGACGAGAGAGAGAGAGGTTATCGTTCTTCTCCTCAAAAAAATTGTCCCCCTGTGTTGCAGCTGCTAAAAGCAGTATTTACAGGCGAAGGGGAGCAAGGAAGGCGTCGCTGCGCATTGGGAGCAGGGGACGTGGGGCTCTAGTTTTGGGAGCAGCATGCAGTCATTGTTTCTGGTTTTAAAAAGGCGTGGGGCTCCAGCAGCATGCGGGAAGAGAAACAGTGTCAAAACGACGTTGTTTAATTTTTTTTAATTATTTATTATTTATTTTTATTTTCATGGGGCCCAAAATGGGTTACAACAGCAGGTTTCGAGAAGCCAAGCATAAGATTGGAACAAGTAATATGTATCATCAAGCTTGATTGTCACAGCAATAAAAACCTTAGAAAGCAAACAGGTAATAGGAGATTGAACAATCTGAAGTTGAAAAATAGTCACCATTTTTTTAATTTTTTTTAGAGTGTAAGAAGTATAAAAGAAGAGAATCAAATATTGAGAAGGAAGAATCTTGCAAAAAGTTGAAGATCTAAAGAAGAATTTTCAGTTTAACAATATATTAAATAGATAATAGACACATCAACGAATATGGAAGAATTTTATGAATAAGATAAGAATGAAACCAAAATCAGAAACAAGAATAAAAAATTGTAGAGTGTAGAAGCTAAGTTCTCAAAATCAAGAATTCCTAAGCTCTGATACCATGATAGGATAGTAAAATTTATACAGAAAAAGGAATAAAGAGAGATGAAGAAAAGCCAAGAAGGATTTTATTAAAAAAAAAGAAAGAAGAAATTATGTTTTTGATTCACCGTTTTATTAATAAATAAGAATAAAAAATTGTAGAGTGTAGAAGCTAAGTTCTCAAGATCAAGAATTCATAAGCTTTGTTACCATGTTAGGATAGTAAGATTTATACAGAAAAAGGAATAGAGAGAGATGAAGAAAAGCAAAGAAGGATTTTATTAAAAAAAAAGGAAGAAGAAATTATGTTTTTGATTCACTGTTTTATTAATTGAATAATGTTTCCTTATTTGATATCAATTTATATATTATTATAGTAAGAAGCTTATTCACAGTATCTATTCTTTATTAAACAATATTAACTAATTCTTTTAATTGACAAAAAAGACTAACAACTATTAATAATATTCTAACCATTTTATTTTCTAATCTTTTGACATGTGACAGGACTAGAAACCTTTGATATCTTTGCAAGATCTAGGTTTCTAGGCATGATAGAGTACAAATACTATCTTAATAGAATTTATTTTTTATGAAGTATCTTTTAACATCAATATTATTATTATTATTATTATTTTATGAGAATTGATCCTAATCAAGAATTTTCTCTTTCTAGCATCATTTTCTTTGAGTATCTTTCATCTAAGTACTGAAAAATATAAAATATAAAAAATAAATTTTCAAATCAAAATAAATTTATATATTATGAATATCAAATTGGGCATTCCTTTTCTTTGTGTTTTTGAACTTAGTACCCATTCATTGAATTCTTTCAATTCGTTTAAGTAATTGGTCATCAATAAAAGCATATAAGAGCGCAATTAAAAAAAATAAGAATGAAAAAAAAATTTGCATGGAATTACATAGAAGAGCCTTCACAGTGGTTAATTACAAGGTACCGAGTATAAGAGCAGGCTTCTTAGACTATGCACCATAGTTTTTAAATTCACTTTGGGTAAGTCCTGTGTTATTGGTCAACTGTGATTATCTGATTAAGTTAGATTAATCTTTTTTATATAAAAAATAAAAATAATATTATTTTAAAGTAAATTTTTATAAAAACATTGACTGAATTTTTTCTATATTTATTGAATGAAGGGTCTATTAAGGTTTTTCTTTAGATTATATTCAGTCAATTCTTTTTTTATTTATTTTTATTGAAACTTAGTTTAATTTAAATTCTGAATTACAGCATCACGAGTCAACTCACCATACCATTCTACATTTTAAAATAATATGCACATCTTATTAGTTGTGTTAAAAGAGTAAAATCGCTATATTTTTATGGTTTTTTTTTTTAAATTCAGTCCCTTGTGTGGTTTAAAAATCATAGAGTCCAGCTCGCAGGATGGAAGACAATTGAAAATGCTGCCGATGTCTACCGGCCGTGAAGCACCGTGGAGGACAATGTTATGTTAGTGATGCGTAGTTTTGGTGATGCGTAGTTTTGGTGATGCGTAGTTTCTTGGAAGCAGCTTATTAGCAAGTTATCTGCCTCGTTCACCAAAAAATAAAATAAAATAAAATAATTTGAACAACGTTATGTTAGTGAGGAATTTTATGCGAAGTTTTAAAACAGGTTAATTTGTATTATATGATATAGTTTAAATAATTGAATCTCACTACTACTAATTTCATAAACTAAGTCGTTTACTTTACATTTTGTTTGCATTAATTAACATTAGCACAAACTTGCTGTCAAGCTCGCATGGCTCGTGTTTATATTGAATAACTCTAACTTAGCCTTCAATTAGTAAAAGAAGATAATGCTTAGAAAATGAAATTTGATTTTTTTTTTAAATTAAGAAAGAGAAATGATAAATTTATCCCATGAGCTCCATTAAAGTAATCAAGCAAAAGAAATATAACTAGCTAAGAAAAACAAATAATATTTTTTTATGAAAAAGAAAAATAATTTTAAAACGGGTTGTGTTCTTAACAGGACTTATGGGATCATTTGTAGGTTTTCAAGATCTTTGTTATATGAATATTTTTTTAAATAATTCAAAGTATAAAAAATCGAATACAATTTGCCGAGTATTGTTTCATTTACAGATTGAAGACGAAGCCTGGTTCAGTCAACATGAATTAATACCAGCAGATTAATGTATGCATGAACCACGCATGTAAACTATACCCCACTTGCGAGAGACCGTGTCAGGCATCAATGGGTTAATAATCTATTAAAGAAAGTGACAGTAAGCCAGTGTCAGGTATTTTTGCCGTCCAGATAAATTTTTCTTCCAAAAAAAAATAAAAAAAATTAGAGGTTATTAATATTATTTTTAGTAGAAAAAAATCCAAAACATGCTATGTTGACCTGACATGACCTATCAACGTTTCAAAAACAATAAAAATAATTGGTAAAAAAAAATATAATTAAAAAAATGGAGGGCGACATTTAAAAAAAATATATTCTGAAAGTTAGTAATACATAAAACTCTACTGAAAAAAAACATACTAATTGGTCATATAGTAGCGAAAACCAACCTAATCTATATAGAAAAAAAAAAATTGAAAGTAGAGAAATTAATTAAAATTCTAATATAGCTAGTAGGAAAATAAAGATAAATAAAAACAGCATCTTCCAGGTCTAATTTCTAATTTGAAGGACTTCGTGATTTCAGTTAGTGCAAGTGAGCTATCCCATAGAAAACATGGCCTCCAGAACCTGTCATCAAATTTCAGTATGATTTCACGGTTGTATCTGGCTGTTTTTTGTGACACTGCACCTTCGAAGCGTCTGAACTTCTTCTTGAAATTTGCCATTTTCGATCTATCTATAAACGCACCCACAAAACGTTCCACATCGGCTACTCTCACTGTTCAAATTGTAATAAGCTTCTAATCACTGTTCAAGAACAACTAGATAGTCCAGTTTGAAATTAGGTGGAAAAGATTTCAAAGAGCATCCATGCGGACCAACAAAGCCATATAATCCCTTTGGGAAGATGTCTGTAGCATCCGTTGAGACGAACTCCATTGATTTGGAGTAAATTCAAATATTTCATGTTTTCAAATGATTCTGTTCTTAAAGGTTCAGCTTTCGAAGTTTGCACATCTAGCACAAGACCCTCCACTTTTTATGTTCCCTAACAAAAGCAAGAAATTTCAGTAGAGCGACATATATCATGGTTTGGAAGTAGACCTATGCAAAAGTATATATTTTGTTAAAATTATTTAAAAACAAGCTCAACAGGAAATACGTATAAGACTTTGTGATTCTGCGCACAAGACTACAGCAATGCATCTTACCATGTTGATTTTGAGCACTTTCAATGCTTCCTCATGAAGCCAAATTCTGCTGCGTTTTCCAGGATGTTGGGGACACATTTGACAAACTATCTCTCTTCTCATGTCTTTTACTAGATCATGCATCCTTGATTGATTCAGTAAATTAACTTCTAAGAGAGACCTGTCAACAAGAATTGTTAAATTGATTTCTTGATTGTTGACACATATTCTTTGTTTCTGCCAACGAAGAAACATGCAAAATCAAGGAATATATTTTTTAGTATATCATCATCCAGTGCGTCAAAACTTATCATAAGCTTTGCCTGGACATTATGATGTGGAGTTTTTCGCAGTTTTTCAATAGCACTTCTCCATACAGATTTGTCTTTTCCGAACAAAGAAGCACCCAAAACTTCAAGAGCTAAGGGAAGCCCACCAGCACACTTTAATACATGATCATTGGAAAGCTCAGCATAATCATCCGGTGGATGGATAGTCCTAAAGGCATGCCAACTGAAAAGCTGAAGGGACTCATCTTGTGTCAACAGTTTAGCCTCATATTTTGCCTGGCATATGAAGACATTAGCGAAGATTACACAAGTAAACTAGAATATTATATTATATGGAGGAAGTTTCGTGGAAAATTAAAAATGTAAATTAGAATATTATATTATGCAGAAGAACTTTCATGGAAACGAAGGATCAGGAAGTTATCATTTTCACATCTATAGTCAGTCAATGTTATGCTTGAGGGACAAGAAATATATATCAATTGAATTTGAAATCGTATTTGACTTTTTCTAAAGCATGCAACATGGGATCAAATCTACCTAATCTTGAAGAAGAAAACAGAAAGAAACTTAAGACAATATTAATTACTTAAAAGAGATTACATGTATATATGTAATTAATCTTGATGGAGTCAGCCTATTGGTTATTACCCCTAAAGAGGTTTATACAAAAGATTTTCTTGCTTGTAAATTGAGCAGTAAAATTTAGCCACCTATTTATAGTTACAGAAAACTTATGCGTATTTTTATTCAAATTAAAAGAGTTTCTTTGTAGAAAAAAGAGTTGATAGTCAAATCATATTCTTCATTCTTCAACTTATAAAGCTAAAATATTAAAAATAATTATGTATATTGAAATGCAGAATTTACAGTACTCATGTTAGAGAATAGGGATACATATTTTCAATATAATGGAGCACGTAATATTACGAGAAAAGACAGTACACTTAAGATTAAATGCATGGTTATTAACTTATAATAATACCGAACATACAATATGGCATGCCATACGCGTGGGATCAAGAGGCTGGATCAATAAAAGGACTTGGGTTATTGAATTACGAACTCCATCTATATTAATTATTTTTATTAAAACAATTGTTGCTTATGCCCGCGCGGTTTGATGGTATTTTTCATTTTTATTTATTGATTTGAAAGTTGACACTTAGTATTTAATTCAAGTTTATTAGAAAATTCAAGTTTATTGATCTTTCAAACTGTCGACAGTAGTTGGAATCTTCAACTTTATCGATCTCGGCGGGTCGCATACACGGAGGTAGAGTCAGCTGACCGTTAGCGATCAACACGTCAAAGATGGCGTCTACCTTGCTTAATTTCATCGAGGGAGATGAGGGGGAAGATGGAGTGGCAGAGAGAGATCTCTGGATTTTAGGTTTTTATTATTTTTTTATTTTTAAAAAATTATAAAAAAAATTTGGATAACAACAACAATAATAATAATTATTTTATGATTCAATCAAGTTTGGATCCGGTATAAATAGAAAAGTTCAAATTAAATGAATTTATTCAAATTAATAATTAGTCTGATTGAAGTAAAAACTCAATCTATGATATTAAATCCTAAATTTTTTAGATTACTCCTCAAATTCCGTCCAAAATACTGTTGGCCACCAAAAAATCCATATAATTTTTTTAAAAAAAAAAATACACATCCATACAATTACCAAAGGCTCCTAAACAAATCTATCAGAAAACCTAACCAATCTAAAAATTTCAAATCGAATCTTTCATTTAAAAGTATGGCCAAATTCTTTTTTATCATTTTCAGTGAAGTTTAATTTTGGATTAAAAATATAACTAAATTAAATTTTTTATTTTTTTAAATTATAAATAAACTAATCAACTAATTCAAACTCATTAATTTAACTCGACTCGGTTTAATTTTTTAAAAAAATTAGTTAAATTTATGTCAATTTTTTTTTTTGGGTTTTTTTTTGTGTGCCTTGCTTTTCAAAACTTGCTTTGAGCGTGACAATTTTATTTAATAAAAAAAAATTGATTCACAATACTTAATTGAAAAGAATAAAAGCAAATCTCACAGTTGTTGGGTTGATTGCCATTAATGTAAAGCAACCATTAGTGGACAACACCATCCATTAATAAAGACAACAGTTATAGCTGGAGCTGCACCAACCATGTGCACCCATCTAACATGTCAAAGGTTGACAGCCACCATTGTTGAAGAAGAGTTGGAGGTGACAGCTATCATTGTTGAATGAGCTGGAGTTAGTGGCTACCAATGTTGACAACAAAACAAGAAGAGCTGCCATGGATGTCTATAAATAGAGGCATACGTGAGAGAGCAAAATGAGTGAGAATGCAACCAAATATGTGAGAAATATAAGAGAGAGTGGACTACCAAGGATAGCCAGCAGTAGCTATCATTGTAACATTGAAAAGAGAGAAACAGAGTGAGGTTGAGAGTTGTCAAAGAAGGGATGATTCCTCCTCCTCTATTGGTGTAAATTGTGTTTTTTTCCTATATAATAAAATGACTTCTCCCGTGGATATAGGCGCTTTGCCGAACCACGTTAAATATTGTGTCAGTATGCTTAATCTCCTATGAGCAAATATCAGTATATCACTGGTCGGAATCCCCATCAACAGTAAAATTCAAGGTAGTTTGGGACTCCAATGACTCAGTGAAAGTCTTAACTAAGTTTTTCCATGATTTTTTTTCAAATTCTACTTAAATAGAAATAAAAAAATTAAACATATTTAAACTTAAATTTAAAAATCCTAATATGATAACTTAAAATTTAAATGTACTAAATCTTGCGGAGAAGACCTAATCTCACTAATTAAGGTAGCTACAATTCCACCTCCATTAAAAAAAGCCTTACCCTCAGGGATATGGTAGGTTCCCTTTAGCTGTCCTTCTATATTTTCTATAAGTGGCATATTTGCAGGCATGTTGACAAATTTCAGTGATACTAGCACCGCCGCTAAAAACTTGAGTATATTGTGCACGAACTATCAAGTCAACGTTCTTAGGAGCACATGGCTTCCGGCAACATACTTTAAATATTTGAAGATGGGAAGCCTTGTCAGGAAGAGGTATATAAATATTCAACGGGTATCCAGACACCTAAGACTAGGCAATGCTGGGTCAAATGTTGGGTTAATAATATCTGACATGTTTGTTGTTCCAATGATAGAAACATTCTTCTTAGCTGCCATGCCATCCATTTCTATCAGAAGTTGATTCAAGATTCTATTCGCAGCTTCGGAATCTCCGTGGCATCCTTTACAGCTAGCTAGGGCCTCCAAGTGTGCCCTCATGTATGACTTCACTAGAGGTAGCAAGATTGATCAATAATCAAGGGCAAAACACTGACTTGAGCTTGAGTTCCTACCGCTGCATTCCATTAACGTACAAACTGCATGTTTCGGGCATCGATTTTGTTGAGCTTTATGGACAATTGTTCTTTCTGTTGCTGGGTAGCAATTTCAATGAAAGTTTCCACTTGATTCATTTGGTCTTCGGTTCTCCAATTACTATCTTTACCAGATTCCAAGTCACAAAACTGAGAAGTTATACCACCATAAGTATCCTCGTACCTATATTGATTGACATTCAGAGTAGTATCTTCTTCTTTTAACACGTTTGGTATATAACATTTAACTCAAATCTACTGCTAATGAACAAACCATCATGTTCATTCTCAACAAGCTTCTCTCTCTGCTGCCGATTAACAGAATCATAGCGTCGATGTTCAAAGATTGTGTTAGTCTCTCTCTTCTTACCTTCTTCAAGGCAGAGATCCTTAACGGCCTGCAATGCTTGCTCATAGCTTAAATGTTTATATTTCGTCTGACAAAGGCTCTGCAGATGGTAAAATTCCTTCTGAAGAATTTCCATCCCTTGATGCATTCTCTTTTCGTTTGCAAGGATCATCCATGATTGTAATTGCTTCCCATTAGAAAGGCCTGCAAACATCCATGATAGCAAACTCTATATCAACATTAGCAGGTAGAACCCTATCTCCATTGCCAACAATGGAATCAAGCTCGTCATAGAAAAATACACAAGGAGCTGACTGCTGTGCTTTGTCAAATATCCAGTCTAAGTAGAGTAGTTTTGGCATTCAAATTTTCGCCAGAAGCAAAAATTAAAAAAAAAAGTGCAAAAGAAACTATAAGGGTTTTATGTGTCATCTGTCAACATGTTTTGGGAAGCTGAACTAGCTGGTGCCAAATTTCCTACCCCCTTAAATTCTCTTTTGATGTGTTATCTCGTGGTACTTTTCAATTTCAGACTTATGATATAGCAAGAAATGCTATGGCGCTTGCCTTGAGTCCAGTTGTGAAGGCTCTTGTTGATCCCGATGGTGCATTGAGGGACATAAGGAAATTAGATAGCGTAAGAATTATCTCATTTCTCTTTCTTTTGAATCGTTGCCCAGGTCATTTTGTTAATATTATCGTTGAAATTACATTTTCTTCTTGCAGATCAGCTTCTCTGATTGGTTTTTGTCCAAAGGTGGAACACGCATGAGTATCCAAAGAATGTGGGATCCTGTTGTTTATGCCCTTGGGTTTATTGACTGTGATAACATCGGTGCATGGTGCATGCTGACCATATTCTCATTGTTTGCCACCAAGACAGAGGCTTCTTTACTTCGTGTGCTCAAGGGTTCTCCAGATGTTTACTTGAGTGGTCCCATTAGAAAGTATATCGAAGATAAAGGAGGCAGGTACAGTTGTAAATATAGGTGCAAAGTCATTACTTGCAAACTATTTTTTGGGTCTCACAATCATAGATACTCTTTATCTGCAAGAGCAGGTTTCATTTGAGGTGGGGATGCTGACCGATAATTTATGATAGATCACCAGATGGGGAAATACATGTCACAGGACTTGCCTTGTCAAAGGTAAATGGCTTTTCATTTTCCTTCTTTCAAACTTGATCCTCTAGTACATTGATGCTGTGATATTATCCTTTACATGTTCAAATATCCTATCTTAAATCTGGTTACATTGCTCCAATTTAAGATCAACAGGGATGCGATGTAATTGCCTCGACATTGTTTTGGTGAATATTTCAATAAGCTATGGTTCTAAATTAAAGAGGTATATAGAAAGCATGTTATCAAAACTGTTTTGCTTTGGTGGATCAATCTAATAATTTATTAATTACCAATTTGGTTTGAATTAGGTCTTAAATAAAATTAGATAGAAGTTAATCGATGCGCGCAATCCAATAGATTTTATGGAGAAATTAGAGAATTGATCAACCCTATCAAGATTAAATTTGATTTTTAATTTTTTTTTAAATCTTAAAATAATATTTTAATTTAATTTTCAACCATATATTCTTATGGTTTTTTGTTTTTGTTTTTTTTTTTTAATTCAGTACCTTATTTGGCTTTAAAAATCATAGGTTAGAGTTCAGCCTGCGAGGTGATTTCCATGAAGGAATGAGAATTGAAAAGGTTGCTCATGTCGAGAGGCCGTGAAGTGTGGGGTGGGAGTAGGACATCACCGTCAAGATAAAAATCATTCAGGAGTTGTTTTCGGCTATACGTACGTAGTTTCATGGAAGCATCTTCTTAAGAAAACATCGCCTCGTGGACCACAAAAAAATAGTGTGAACGTTATCATGTCGGTGAAGAATTTTGGGCAAAGTTGATTAAATTGAATCCAGCTACTAAAAAGTTGCTTACAATTATTAGACTATTATACTCTTGATTATGTTGACTTGAATCTAACCTATTATTAGACTATTATACTCTTGATTATGTTGACTTGAATCTAACCTATTCTTCAACTCCCTCGGTTTCCCGCGCATCTCTGCGAACCCTGATCCGAAAGCAACGATGACCCAATATTGTCCAAGTGTGCAAACTGCGAAGTCTAAATTAGGGATTTTATTTTAGACTTTCATTAATCTCTCCTTTTAAAGTTGGAAGTGAATGCCAACTTTTTCCTCATCATGTTTTTTTTTTTTTTTGAAGCTTCAAAATGAATTAGCTGTTCTTAATAAACAAAGTGAAAAGGAGCCGATTCTTGTTACATCCACAGCATCATGCCACTAAAAAGCTTCACCAGCCAATAACCTGTTAATCGTTCTCACTGGGTTTGGACTTCATGAACATGGAAATTCAACAGATTGTGCCAGTCCCTTTGGTTTTTTTTTAGTCTAGAATACCCATAAAAAATGTCGGAAATTTGTTCACTACTAAAAACAAGGGCTATTAACATCTGAATTTAGTTACAGATAATTCCGTTGCTAAATTCAGCAACAGATTTGCAACAGATTACATATATATTATTTTTTTAATATTAGTAACGGAAAATCCGTTGCAAACTTTACGTTGAATTTATCAACGGATTTTCTGTTAATAATTAAAAAAATAATTATTTAAATTTTAATATAAAACCAAAATTACGAACATCGTTGATTACACTTACTAGGATAAAATCTCAACCGTTTATTTTTCGCTGGCATTGGTAAATCTACACCAGCAAAATGCAAACATAGACCAATTAACAAAACCAATAGATGAAAATTAATGATCTTCCACTCTTCTAATCTCCTTCGTCCCTAATAACATCGATCCATAACTATAGAGAAATCACCCTCTTTTCAACGATTTGATTTTTCTTTATCCCAAACATTTCATTTTTTTCGCATCTTCGGCACCTGTAATTCTTCTCCTTCATCTTCTTCTTCTTCATCTGCATAGTTTCAATCTTTCTCTGTAAACCACCAAAACCACAGACCCATGGCAATATCGAACCAGACCCAGCATTATCACCATTGAACATGTTGATTTACCCCTTCTCATTGTAAACGGGTTGGGTTTTTCATGCTTTTCTTCAAAAGTTCAGGTAATTAATTTAGGGTTTTTATTTTTCTTTGTTGCAATTTAACTTACACTAAAAATCTTTCACCTAACTTTTCCAATCTCAGGTTTTTTTCTGTCCTGTAGATCCATCTCAGTCACCTGTAACTAAAGAACACAGTAACATTTTTTTTTCTCGATACTTTGAATATTGGTTTTAGGCTATTAATTTGATAATATAAGGGTTTATGAAATGTTTTTACGATGATCTATAACTTAATTATGCATGTTTAATTGAAAATTTATCAAAACCCCTAATTTAATTTTTAGGGTTACGGTTCATAAATTGAATGACTTTAGGCTACTGGACTAATGCTGGTAATTCATATGTTTGGAAGAGAGTGATCGATGGAAATTATGCATCAGTTCAATTTCTTCGCTTTCACTGAGATGTTTCGTGCTGTTATAACTTGCTACCCTGTTGCTTCAACTTTTTACCTTGTAATGCTCTACTTCTATAATTTTTAAGTGTTACAGCAGCGTATGGATGCTATTAAAATCTACAGAGTCTAGTAACTAGTTAACCTGTGATGATTTTCTTCTTCTGTAGCAGTCCAAGTGTTTCTTTTTTTCTTCCTGTAATTTGATTGAGCATGCTTGCAAAGTTTTAGTGCTGCCTTTTAGTCACCGCC